ATAATAGTAACAACCATCACCGGCACCATCACCATCAGCATCATTAACATCAGACTCTTCATACTCAGCAGCATCACCAGCATCAGCATCAGCATCAGCATCATCAGCAGCATCATCAGCATCAGCATGAGCATGAGCATCAGCATCAGCATCATCAACATACCCATCATCATCATCATCATCATCATCATCATCATCATCATCATCATCATCATCACAACCAGCATCGGCATCGATACCACCATCAACATCACCATCATCAGCATCATCATCATCAGCATCATCATAATCATAATCAGCATCATCATAATAATCAGCATTATCATCACAAGCTTCATCATAATTAACATCATCAGCACCATCATAATAACCTTCTTCATCCTCAGCATTATCATTATCAACATCACTATCAGCATCATCACCATGAGCATCATCACCATCCGCATCAGCCTCATCCTGACCGTCGGCATCATCATCATCCCTATCAACATAGACATCGACATCGGCATCAGCATCAGCATCGTCAGCATCACTATCAGCATCATCACCATCATAATCATCACCATCAGCATCATCACCATCATCATCATCTTCACCATCGTCATCATCATCATCATCATCATCATCATCATCATCATCATCATCCCGATCAACATCGACATCGGCATCGACATCAGCACCATCATTACAATCAACTTCAGCATCGACATCAACATTACCATCATCATCATCATCATCATCATCATCAGCTTCGTATTCATTTTCGCCGTCATCATCTTCATTATCACCCTCCACGTCATCACTGTCATCGGCATCGTCATTACCATCATCAGCATCATCACCATCACCATTAACAGCATCATCATCATCATCATCACAGTCATCATCATCATCACCACCATCATCATCATCATCATCAGCACCATTATCGTCATCATCATCATCGTCGTCATCCTCATCCCCATCATCATCCTCATCACCAGCACCATCATCATCATCATCATCATCATCATCATCATCATCATCATCATCATCATATTCATCATCACCATCATCATCACCAGCAACATCATCATCATCATCATCATCATCATCATCATCATCACCTTCCACGGGATCATCACCACCGCCGTTCATTGTCGTCATCGTCGACATCGACGCCTCGTCGAAGTTCTGCGCGCGGGCACGTCCTCTCCCTCCTCCATATTATCCCCATCTCATCACGAGCACCGTCGTTATCATCAACGTCAGCGTTAAGGTTGTCACCGAAATAATCACCGCCGTTAGCACATCACCAGCACAATCGTCGTCGTCGAAATATCGTCCCAATCTTCACTGTCCTTGCCGCTGGCATCAGCGTCACCACCATTGTCATCGTCGTCGTCGTCGGCATCGCGGTCGCCGCCATCGCCACCATCAGATCGCGACCTGGACGACGGATGCGCGCCTGTGTGATCGTTGAGATTATGGCCGCATGAAATGTGTAGGGAAATTGCGGGTTGGAGAGTGAAATGTTTGAAAGAGCAGGCGGGTTGACAGCTTCAAATCGGGCGAACATGAATTGCACGACAAAGCTTGCATTACATAACTTCCACCACGCAACTTGCACCAAACAACTTGCACTATGTAGATGGCACACATGACTTACACAACACCGCTAGCACGCCTAAACCGATACCACATAGCTTGCGATACGTACCTTGCAACACGTATATTGCACAACATAGCTTGCACCACATATATTCTCCTGCCAGAAGAAGAATTGGCTCCACCACCCTCGTGAGCCTGGACTTATCCGCCCCGTCTGAGGCATTATAATGTAAACTGACGCTGCCTCATCGTGCAGTTCCCATTTGAAAGCGAACCACCTCACTCAAGCCAGGTAGACGCTTCCCCTCAACCCTGTCAAATCACCTCATGCACGCGCATGCGTGTATGTCACAAGATCCACACACGCGCACACGTAGGCATCCAACAAAGCAGGTCCGCCTTGCAAGCGCTCCAGAAGAAAACATCAAACACTCATGGGCCACTCATCAATACATGTTGCAGATGTTCTGCCCGCGCGCACTTGCTGAAATAAACAAGAAATCGTACGATTTCAGCAATCTCGTCCAACACCCGCACTCAGATTGCACCACGCGGTGTATCTGCGTTGGTCCAGCATAACACGAAGCCTGCAGGTTCTTGCATTTCACGCGCGCGTACTTCCCCACCACCCACATCAACAATATCACATCACCGTGTTTACCGTCGTCAATCGCCGCCTTCGCCACCACCGTCAGCACAATCACTTGCATCCCTGGCACATGGACACCATCATCGTCGTCGTCGTCGTCGCCAGCATTGGCGCCGTCGCTGGCCTTGCCGTCGTCATCGTCATCGTCGCCACCGCCATCGATATTATCGAATTCCTCGTGACATCGCGCCCGCCCAAGTCGCCGACCCGCGCTGAAGTGCCTGCGCGCCAGCGCGGCCTTGGAGACGCGGTGGGAAGCCCCCATCGGTAAGCGGCATCGTGGCCTGGTGTCCTGGACGATCTGCATGGCACTGTGCGTGTTTCCCTTCTTGGTCCTGGCGATATGGCTAGGTCAGCCGCTCGACGTTCGACCTTCTGCAGACCGTCATTCGCTGATGATGCGCAGCCCCTCGTTAATGACACACTGGCGAGGGCCAGCTGCTATTTGATCTGGTTTGGCCTCAAACGCCACGCTGTCTCGTTGTAGATACCGTGGTGTTCGAGGTTTTGGTTCTGGTAGGTCTGGCTGGCGTCATGGATGGGTACCTCATCATATTGTATTGAGCATTGGCCAATGTCGCCGAAACCTCATGCTGTCACTGATGCCGACCTGCCTCATATACCCGTCGTCTGGCAGGCGGGCGGGCGATCAGCTCCTGGTCTCTGCAAGCAGCTGGCTGCTATGATCAACCGCTGGTCGCAAGAAACACACTGTGGCCCCTTCGATGTCAAGTAAAAAGCTCCCGACCCCGAGGTCTACTTTTGTCCGTTCGCCCTTCTCTCCAGGACCGTCTGGCAGGAGGGCAGGAGTGGCAGGCTAGGGGGGCTGAGCGCGTTGCCTGAATCCCACCAGCCCTCTGGGGGTATGTGGTCTAGCGGTATTCGTTTTCCTTCTTCCCAAACCTTTCTTCCCTTCGAGGAGGGGTACCCCCATTCCTGAAGTTTGTTGCCCCCACCGCCGGAGGTGCGAAAACATTGGTTAGCGATCCATGGATTTCGCGCGCGGTCGCCGAATCCATGGATCGGGGGAGGTGCTCTCCCCAGAATGCGGCTGGTGCCGCCTCGCTCGGCGGCGGAAATCCGCGATTTCCCATGGAAACGGGACCCGTCGCTAATCCACGCCCCCTTGATCCATGTTTGCGATCGCTTGAACCCCCCTCCTTGAAGTTTTCTGCCCACCCCCTCCCCCGCGATGTGTCAAAGCGTCCTTGTTGGCCCAAAATGGCTCCAAGAGGGTCCTCGATGCTCCAAATCACATGGCCTCCAATATGGACCAAGACAGCCATAAATGGTTTAAGATGGCCCCCGTCATGTCTCCTAGAAGCCCCAAGAGAGCCACAATATGGTTCCATGTGCTCTTACAGCCCTCTTCCCAAGAACCCCAAAGAACACCAAATCTTTCAAGCACGTCATGCAATTACTGGTGTGTGTGCGTGTGCGCGTGTGTGTGTGTGCCTTCGCACCGTTTCGCTTCCGATGGGCATCTGAAGGATCAAGATGGCCGCAAGGTGGCCCAAATGAGCCCCAAGAGGGGCCCCATATGCCCCCCAATACGGCCCCAAGAGCGCCCAGAAGCGCCCCAAGAAACGAGTTTGATGGTCCCGGACGGAGGGGGAGAGAAGCTGGGGGAAATCGAGGACAACTCCTCTTTGGATCGACAAAGCCTCGAGAGGAACCCGACGCTCTCCTCCAACGTAGCCTCAAGAGGGCACCAAGGGGACCCCGAGAGAGCCTCAAAAGGACTACAAGGGAGCCTCGAGCAAACCCTCGGATGGATGCCGAAGTCCTCGTCCTCGTCCTCGTCTCTTCCTCCCTGCCCTAGGCCCCCAGGCATCGTTCCTGGATGGGCTGACTGGGGATGGTTTTTTGATCGCGAGCGCGAGCGGTCCAGCCGCGCGCCGTCCAGAAACGAGGCAGCCGCACCAGGCTCTAAATGAGGCACTGAGCACGCAGGAGCGAACTACGCTGCGGCTCAGGGGGCGAGAAAGACGCTGAAGGACAGGTCGAACACGCCGAAGCCGTCGGAGACCAGGGGGTAAAACTGGTCCACGTGCAGCGCCAAAATGGCGAAATGACTCATGCCCAAGACCACGAGGGCCACGTCCACGTCCACGAGGAAGACAAAGACCACGACCGCGTAGTCGAAGAGGGCAACCGTGCAGGCGCTCGGCGGAGGAACCGGATCGCCAGGAGGGAGTCAGGAGCGCAAGCGGAAGAAACCCCTTGCGAGTGGGGAGCTGGCTGGGGATACTTTTTTTGGTCGCGTCCGCGGGCGAGAGCGCAAGCGGCGAGTCGTAAGTCCGGGGCAAACTGACTGGGGTGTTTTTTTTGGTCGGCGGCCGCTCGACAACGGTCTGGCGGCAACAGCGATGCCCGGGGCAACGGAACACTGACTGGGGATGCGCGAAGCGTTCAGAATCGCGGTGCTCCATGTGCCATGCAACTGGGCCCGATTCAGAAGAGGCCCTCGCAGCACAGGGCGCCGCCCGCAGCAGAAGGTGTGGGAGGCGGAGGAGGAGGAGCAGGAGGAGGAGGAGGAGGAGGACGACGAGGAGGAGAAGGAGGAGGAGGAGGAGGAGCAGGAGGAGGAGGAGGAGGAGGAGAGGAGGAGGAGGGGGGAGGAGGAGGAGGAAGGAGGAGGAGGAGGAGGAGGAGGAGAGGAGGAGGAGGGGGAGGAGGGGGAGGAGGGGGAGGAGGAGCGTGAGCAGCGGCTGCCGCAGGAAGGGGCGGCGAGAGCCTCTGCCCCCCCCGAGCCCGCCGCCTGTTCCGCAGGTGCGCCGTGGAGAGCGGACCCACCTCGGGCGTGCCGGCCGCCCCAAGCCCCCAGACCCCCACCGAGCGAGGGGCAACGATGAGGGGGGGACATCGACCTGGATAGGGGGCCACAAGCGAACCCTTGCCCCTCCCCCCCGCGATTTCTGAGGGGGAGGGCGGGGTTCACGTCGCTCGGGAGCTCCCGAACGAAGTGAAGCCCACCCTCCCCCTCAGAAATCGTCGGGGGTAGGGGGTGGGGTTCACATGTGGCCCCCTGCTGGAATCGGCGATAGATCGCCGATAGATCGGCGATAGGCCTCCGATAGTGAATCCGCACTTGCCTGGGCAGGTTGGGGCTATCGGACACCTATCGGCGATCAATGGGCGATTGAGGGTCGATGCATCCGCCCTATCACGACGGAACATGTCTCGCCTTTTTCGGCCACTGGGGGCCCTCGCCAGGCCTCGGGACCGTTCAACAACGACTCGAGAATGCAAAACGGGTCCCAGGGAATGGGTCGAGGCCTGGGCCTGGAAATTAACGCTGCTTATGGTTGCGCACAGACCAGCGCCCCCCCCAAGGTTCGGGGGCGCGCAAACATGGATTAGCGATCCATGGATCCGGCGCGCGGTCGCCGAATCCATGGATCGGGGAAAGTGCCCTCCCCACAATGCGGCCAGTGCCGCCTCGCTCGGCGGCGGAAATCCGCGATTTCCCATGGAAACGGGACCCGTCGCTAATCCACGCCCCCTTGATCCATGTTTGCGATCGCCTGACCCCCCCTCCTTGAAGTTTTCTGCCCACCCCCTCCCCCGCCCCCCCCTCCCCCGCGATGTGTCAAAGCGTCCTTGCTGGCCCAAAATGGCTCCAAGAGGGTCTTCGATGCTCCAAATCCCATGGCCTCCAATATGGACCAAGACAGCCGAAAATGGTTTAAGATGGCCCTCCTCCTCCTCCTCCTCCTCTCCTCCTCCTCTCCTCCTCCTCCTCCTCCTCCTCCCCTCCCTCCGCCTCCTCCCTCCTCCTCCTCCTCCTCCTCCTCTCCTCCTCCTCCTCCCTCTCCTACCTTCCTTCCCTTCCTTCTCCTCCTCCTCCTCCTCCTCCTCCTCCTCCTCCTTCTGCTTCTTCTCGTAGTCCTCGGCGAGCTTTGCCAAGGTCCCCTGAGATCCGACGCTCCCGAAAAATTGGAGTGGCGGGATTTTCACGGTTTTCGGCCTCCGGGGCCCTCGGCAGGCGCTTCGGGGGCGTCCACAAAAAGGACTCGGAGGACGGCCCTGGAGAAGTGGTCCGGACCTCCGGGTCCCACGCAACAAAAAAAGATGGAGGAGGAGGAGGAGGAGGAGGAGGAGGAGGAGGAGGAGGAGGAGGAGGAGGAGGAGGAGGAGGAGGAGGAGGAGGAGGAGGAGGAGGAGGAGGAGGAGGAGAAGGAGGAGGAGCTCCACGCGCTGCTCGCCTTCAGGCGCCCGGCGTGCTCGAGCGACCGCGGGCCCCGAGAGAGCCCTCCGCAGATCGCTCCGGCTCGGGGGGTGCCGCAACTTAAGGCGGGGTCTGCGGCTCGGGCCGCAGTTGTTCCATGGTGCTGCAGTGTTTTTGTTTTTGTTCGCGGCGCCGCACCTCAGGGTTGAGCAGGGACCGACCGTCCCCGCATTCCTATAGTCCTACCACGAAATGTTCTCAGAGCCCAGAAATGATGTTAGAACATAGACCCGATGTGATAAAACAAGGCAGCCTCCGCCAGAAATGAGTTCTCAGAGCATTTCGTGGAAACCACAAAAGGTTATTAGAACATTGTCTGGTAGGGCTATAGGCGAGCCAGAACGCTTCGCCACTGCTTCACAGGGACCGCTGCCCCCCGACGCGAAGGCCCCGCTCCGCGACAGCCCCTCCTCCGGCCCACGCCCCCCCTGCGGCGGGCGGGCTCTGTGGCAGACGAGGGCGACGACGACGACGACGACGACGACGACGACGACGACGGCGGCGGCGGCAGCGGCAGATCTGGCCGAGGATGCAGCCGGGGATCTCGGAGAGCCGGCGGCTCTGAAGGCTGCCCTTCCTGCGGATCCGCCCTACTTTGGGGAAATTCGCAATTAGGGCTTGGAATTTCCGCCTTAGCTTTCAAGCCCCGCTGATGCCAATTTCCGCCCTACTTTTCTGTTGCTGTTTCCGCCCTACCTCTGTGGATTTCCGCCTTACTTTATGTCGGGTGCAGAAATTTCCGCCCTACTTTTTCGGCTTCTTAATCGGTGGATTTCCGACGCAATTTTTAGGTTGGAAAAAAAGCCAAAGCAGGGCGGATCTGGAGTCAGGGTGTGCCCGCGGCGCGGCCAGCGAAAGCGGCCAAGGATGGGCCGAAGGGGAAGGATGCAACCTTCGGAGGAGGAGGAGGAGGAGGAGGAGAAGGAGGAGGAGGAGGAGGAAGAGGAGGGGAAGGGAGGAGGAGGAGGAGGAGGAGGAGAAGGAGGAGGAGGAGGAGGAGGAGGAGGAGGACGAGGGATGAGGGATGAGGGAGGAGGGAGGAGGCAGGAGGGAGGAGGGAGGAGGGAGGAGGAAGGAGGGAGGAGGGAGTAACCTCGGAAAGTCGCTCATCCTTACGATGCGGGCTAACTGTATGAGGGGCCCCGGAGGCCGGACATGTGTAAAGCAACAGCTCCCGCCCAGCTCGCTATACAAGTCAAGAGAAGAGCCACGCCGCGCTGGAGCTCCGGGCAAGCCTCCCTTGACTCCGGATCGGCCAGTGGTCGATTTTCCGACTTGGAGTGCGGGAACATAAGGCGGATATTTCTGCCTCGGCACAGTCGGGCGGACATGTCCGCAAATGTGTGGCGGGAGCGGCGACGGCGAAGGCGGGTGGAAACCAGCAGCAGGGGAGCTCGAAAAGTCGAGCGGGAGCTTCCGCCTTGCTTACGACAAATCGCCCACAGCACGGCGGATCTGGAGTCAAGGTCTCCAGTATGGAACCGATACCATGCGGCTAATTTCGTCGAGGTTTCCTTCCCGCGGGCGGTAAAAGTCCTCATCGGCGCAAGGCTGCACTACACGCTACATCGCGGCCCATTGGCCCAACGACGGGCGCCGTTTAGGTGCAAGACACACATGTTCTAGGTGCCACTTCGGGTGGCTCAGAAATGTTATCCCTCCCCCACCGTCCTCTGTGGGACTCTTCTGTGGTCTCCGGTATTTGCTCCTGTGCACGGTCCTGCTGGCGAAACGGCGATTCCAGGAGTCCAGTCTCCTAGCTCTGCCCGTCCCCCTGCGGGACTTCTCCGTGGGTGGTCCGTCTCGACCACCGCTGGAGAACCCCCTAGCGCACTCGCTAACTACGCAGGAAACGCAGCTCCCGCCAAACTCGCCAGGAGACGAAAAGGCCACACCGCTCGGGAACACGCAAACATGGATTAGCGATCCATGGATTTGGCGCTCGGTCGCCGAATCCATGGGTCGGGGGAGGTGCCCTTCCCAAAATGTGGCCGGTGCCGCCTCGTTCGGCGGCGGAACTCCGCGATTGCCCATGGAAGCGGGCCCCGTTGCTAACTAGTCCACGCCGCCCTCGATCCATATGCTTGCGATCGCCGGAACCGCGCCGGAGCTCTCGGAACGTCTCCCCCTCCCCAGACATCCGGAGGGCGCCCGGAGGGCGGAGATTGCCAAAAGCCTCCTCCTCACGCTATTCTTGCCACGACCCCATATATCCGATGCGATGCCCCACCGGCTGCCCGGAGCCCAGCTCCCTCAGGTACCACTCGCCCTGCGCCGCCGCGGCGGCGGCGGCGATGGCCGCCGCGTCCGGCGGGGGCACCCCGGACGACACCGCGAGCACGGCGGCGAGCGCCGGGGGCCGCAGCTCCTCGGGGCGCGGGCCGGGCGGGCGGCGGCGGCGGCGGCGGCCGCGGCCGGGGCGCCGCCGCGGCGAGGCGGCCCGCGGCGGGGCGCTGCGGCGGGGCGTTGCGGCGGGCCTCCGCCCTCTGCGGGCGGCGGCGGCGGCGGGCGGCGCAAGGGGCGGCGGCCTCCTCTTCCTCCTCCTCGCCCCTCCTCCTCGCCCTCCTGCTCTTCCTCCTCGCTCCTCCTCCTCCTCCTCCTCCTCCTCGCTCCTCCTCTCCTCCTCTACCTCTTCCTCCTATCCGCCTCCTCCTCCTCCTCTCCTCCTCCTCCTCCTTCTCCTCCTCCTCCTCCTCCTCCTCCTCCTCCTCCTCCTCCTCCACCTCCTTGCCCCCTCCAACTCATGGTGGTGGTGGAAAACAAGCCCATCGCCCGGCGGCGGCAGCAGCGAGGGCGGCCGGGGCGTCGACGCGGAGGGGGCGATCGGGCGATCGGGCGGCGGTCGGGCGGTGCCCGAGGCCACCAGGCTGCTGAGCCGATGGGTGGTCGTCGTCGTCGCTGTTGTTTCACAACGGGCGTTTTTTCGCCTTTGCTCGGGCCCCGGGACCCTCACTGATCGACCCAGCTCGAACAAAAAGACGCAGAAAGATTGTGTCTAGGGCTTCGGTGGAAATTTTCGACATGTTGCACTTTTCTCCCAACGTCGGATCTCAGGGTGCTCCAGATGGCCATGGAACGGGTCCGGGCAGGCGCACACCAGGTCACCGACTACTTCGCGCACCGCGCCCCGCGATGCGCTGTTCTCTTCGCGCCCCGATGGGAGCCACCTCGGAGAAGAACGGCTTTCCAACCGAGGCCGCGACGCGCGAAACGCGAGTGTTAGATCGGGCATGTCCTCCTACAGGGGGGTTTTGGATCAAACATCAAAAGCTGACAACAGATATTCAAACGTATTTTAAACACTGATTAAAACATCGTCCCCTAACTATTTTTTTTATTTTGGAATATTCCTCCTTATTCCTCCTATAGAGGGGCAGGCCCGACTTAACGCTTGGGCGTGACCCCGCGCACGGGAGGAGTACGGCACGCAGCGGCAGCGGCGGCGGCGGCCGCACTGCTGGCAGGGGCCACCGCTGCCGAGAGAGAGAAAGAGAGAGAGAGAGAGAGACAGGGCCACACCGAAAGCGGGTGCGGATCGGAAACCGTACCGCGCGGGAGGAAGACCCCCCCCCCCCCCAAGCACGTCCACGGGGCACAGCCGCGGCCGCGTGCCGCCCGATGCCAGGTCCCACCGCCGGGCACAGAGCATTCCAGCGCAACGAGCAGCCGGACGGCGTGAGAGCTCGTGCTGCGCAGCGCAGGCGCGCGGCGCGCCCCACAAACAACCAGGAGGCCCGGAATGGGATGGGAATCCCACCAGCACTTTAGGGCGTGGGTGGCTTAGGGCGCTTCTGCTGCCAGCCCCGCTTTCACCTCTGGGGGCGGCTTCGTATCTGTTCCATATTCCTCATCGGTGAACACTCCCTACCCCTAACCGACCTGCGATAAACCGGGAACAGTGCCACCCCCCCTCCATCCTCCGTCAAATACGCTGCAGCGGAATGTGGACCATTGGAGGAGGAGGAGGAGGAGGAGGAGGAGGAGGAGGAGGAGGAGGAGGAGGAGGAGGAGGAGGAGGAGGAAGAGGGAGGAAGAGGAGGCAGAGGAAGAGGCGGAGGAGGAAGGGGGGGGGTAGGGATCATGTCCGGGCGCCCCGCGATCACGTCACAGTGTGTGTTGGAAGGGACGAAAGGCTGGGACAGCATACCGCCCGCTGCGCGCAGGAACGCCATGCCTATCAAAAGCCAATGCCAAGCGCGCGGCGCGGCAAAACCTTGGACCACGTGCGGGCGGCCCGCGATCACGTTGCACTCTTATTCGACAGCAGTGATGGGAATGCCCAGGCACGCGCGTCGGATCTCGCGGGCGGCGCGCACCTGCCCGGCGTCTGCATTGGTTCCAAACGGTTGTCGACGGCGGCCCCAGCCCATGCTGGGACCCGGCTGCTACTTACAGATTCGGTGGGGTGGCGGGTAGGAGTGAGCGAGATGGCCGTACTTCGGGGGAGGTAGCTTGGCACACGCCCCCTCCCTCTGAGTCTGGACGCAGCGCCCCGGGACCCGTTGGAGCGTCCAAGATGGCCCCAGCGAATAAGCGATAATCATTAGTTTTCCTCAGGCTGCGGCCCCACTTTTGGCTTCCTAGGGGGGGGTGGGGCAGGGCTCACGAAGGACCCCGATTCTCGGATCGACGGCCCCCAGGATGGCTCCAAGACAGCCCGGGAGGCCTCCGTTGGCAGAAAATCGGAGGTAGACAAACCTCCTTTTAGCAAACCTCCCCTTAATGAAAACGGCCTGGGGACGGCCGCGATGCCGTCTCGCGAACCGAAAACGGCCAATTCCTTCGACGCGTCAGGGTAGGAGGTCTATCCACCTCCGAGAAAGGCAGCAGGATGCCTCTGCCCTGGCCGCCGACAGCGAAACGTGTCACAAATCGGGCGCGCCCCCGCCCTAGGCGCGACCACGCGGACCACCGAGACCACCACCAACCAAGGACCCAGCGGGGGGCGGAGGGGGCGGGGTCGTCGCAGGCTCGGCGAAGTCCAGTCCGCCGCGCACTTCCCCGGAACCGCCTCATCGCAGGGCCGCCGTCTCCCCCCACACCTCCGGCTGCTCCAAGTTTTTCGATGCGTGGGCCCCGAGGGTCTGGACCACTTCTCCAAGGCTGTTCGTCCCGAGTCGTTTCTTAACGCCCCCCAGGCCCGGCGAGGGCCCCCAGAGGCCGAGAACAGCACAAAACCGCCTGCTCCAATTTTTGTTGGAGCGTCCGACCGCACGGACGCTGCCTGTGGTTTGGCTGCTGGCGGGCCCGCAGAGCCCCGAGGAAACACATGTTAATTTCCCGTCGGCAGCGAGGCGGGACGATCCGCTCCAGCGTGGCAGCGCGACGCAGGGGCACTGCCACAGCGAACTGGCCGGCGCGCGGGAGGAGGGACTAGGAAGGGCAGGGCGGCCGCGGGACAGGAGAGGAGGGCGATCATTCAGAGGCGGAAGACTTCCGCCATGAGCAGCCGGAACTGCCCGCGGGCGGCGGGGACGGCGCCCCCAGACCCCCGACGTTGTGATTCCTTCACAAGGTCGACCCCCAAAGGTCTGGACCCTTTCCCCGGGACCGGCTTTTCATCCCGAGCCGTTTTTCGACGGTCCCGAGGCCCGGGAAGGGCCCCCAGAGGCCGAGCATAGCGAAATGCCTCCCGTCGTGATTGTTTTAACGCGCGAGGGTCTGGGCAGGGGGCCGCCCCGCCCGGCCGCGCGCGCGCGCGCCGGCCCAGGCCCGGGGGCCGCGGCTCCGGCGACGCCGGGGGCGACCCGCCGGGCGAGGCCGCGCAGGGCTACGTAGGACGGACGAGGAGACATCCTCCCAGACAGTTGATCCAGCGAAAAACCTCCCGTCGCGATTTTTTCACAGCGCGAAAGGGGTCCGGGTCCGGGGGCCCCCGCGAGGAACAGCCGGCGACGCGCGGGGCGGGCGGCCGGCGCAGCAGGCCGGGCCTCTGCGCGGAGGAGGAGGAGGAGGAGGAGGAGGAGGAGGAGGAGGAGGAGGAGGAGGAGGAGGAGGAGGAGGAGGAGGAGGAGGAAGAGGAGAAGAGGAGGAGGGAGGAGGAGGAGGAGGAGGAGGAGGAGGAGGAGGGGGGAGGGAGGAGGAGGAGGAGGAGGAGGAGGAGGAACGAGGACGGAGGAGGAGAGGAGGAGGAGGAGGAGGAGGAGGAGGGAGGAGGAGGGGGAGGAGGAGGAAGAGGAGGAGGAGGAGGAGGAGGAGGAGGAAAGAGGAGGAGGAGGGGGGGGAGGACTGATGATGATGATGATGATGATGATGATGATGATGATGATGATGATGATGATGATGATGATGATGATGATGATGATGATGATGATGATGATGATGATGATGATGACGATGATGATGATGATGATGATGATGAGGAGGAGGAGGAGGAGGAGGAGGAGGAAGGGAAGGAGGAGGAGAGGCCCCCCTGAAGAGGCCCCGAAATGACCCCACGCGGCCCGCAAGGCGGCGCCGCAAAGGCACCCAAAACGCTCCCAGAAACCCCCCCCCCCCCCCCCCCAAGAGCCGGCAAGAGGCCCCCAAAACGCCCCAAGAGGCTTCTAAGGGGCCCCCGATAGATACCCCAAGGGACCCAAGGAGGCACCCATGGCCATGGGGCGCCTCTGGCCCGCATGGGCCCCCCGAGATCCCCCAGAGATGCCGCGCTGCCCCGTTCAGGGCAGCTCTGCTGGGCATCGTGTCTGGGTGGGTTGGCGGGGGCGCGCAAAGCGTCGACAATTGGGAACTACCGCGGCTGCGCCGCCGCGCCCGAAGCTCTGGAGTCATGGCGGGGACACGCCTCCCAGGGGCAACCTGGGAGATCCAAAGGGGGCCCCGTTGGCGCAACTCGTTCACGGCCGCAGCCCGGAGGCGGGGGATGTGGATTTTACTGTGGCAGTCTTAGGCGGCGAGGGGAAGTTGGCGGCAGTTGTAGGCGGATGTGCGAGGATACTCGGGCGGCAATTTACACTGGTCATTGAGGATCTGCGGGTTGCAATTCCAGGCAGGTGGGAAATAATCGCTCACCGCGCCAGTTTCATTTGTGGCGCGCAAACAGATGTCAGCGGCCGTTCGCAGCTTTAGGCCTGCAGTCTTCTCATTTGCAGTTTTTAAATGGTGGGTGATGGTATACGGGTACCGATGTTAATCTAGCGGGCGAACCCATTCTGGTCGCAGCGCTGCGAATTAGCTGCGAAGCAGCGGTTGTATTTCTCGAGTAGGGGATCGACTACAGGAGTGGTTCACCTCAAGATTCACAATTTCGTAGAATCTACGCAAACGCGTAGAATGTACGTTTATATGTATACATACACAGTCTACGGATGTTCGACGGACAAGAACCACTGTTGGGCATAGTCGATCCCCTACGCGAAATTTCAGGCGGGTGGATGCGGATTTGTACGCGTTGGATATGTCACGTGCCAATGCCAGGTTGGTGGGTGGGGACAGATGTCGCTCGCCGCTCTATACGCAGGGGCGTGAGGATATCTGGGGAGCAGCGCTGCTAAACTGATGTGGGCGGAGGAATATACATCGGTGGCAATCTTGTGGGCGCATGGGCGAAAGCATCTGTGTTGCAGTTTTGAATGGGTGCGCATGTGAGGGGCGCGGCACGTCGCCTTGTTGGCGGCACCCCCCACCTGCTCGGGGTACTTCCAAACGGCGCAGTCGGCGCGCTCGGCCAAGAAGAGCCCCCCCAGCCTGGACGACTGGACGCCGAGTGGGGCGAACAGCCTGCCGAGGTCCTGGTGCCGCGACAGGACGGCTGTGGCACCGCGCACCTCCGCCGCCGACCGCAGCTTGCAGCCCGTTCCGCGCACCTCGTAGAGATGGAGCCACGGCGCATGTGAGGGGAGGGAATACCCAGGTCCCAGACCCCCTCGCGCTGCGAAGAACATCTCCACGGGACACTTTTCGCCATTCTCGGCCCTCTGGGGGGCCTTCACGGGCTCCAGGACCGTCCACAAAACGACTCGGGACGAAGACCCAGTCCCGGGGAAGGGGTCCACCTCTAGGGGGTCGACGTCGCGAAAAAAACGACGTCGGGGGTCTGTGGGGGGCAATTTCAGCTGGATGGGGGAGGGCAGGTGGGTGGCAGTTCGAGGACGGTGGTGGGCAAGAATGTACCTGGATTGCAGCCTCGGGTGGGGTGGCTGGGCTGCAACAAAAATCAGGCGGGCGTGCCAGCACCTGCCGGACGCAGTTTTCAGGATGGGGCGTTCGGCTGGGATCTTCAGGGGTTCGAGTGAAGATACGTAGCTAGCACATTTCGAAAACCCTGGACCCAAAAACGCTTTCATCTCTTGGCGGCGCATCTTTTACTTCCGCCCTTTCCGCCGAGCTTCCGCAAGCGGATGCGGCTTCGTTTTCCTTCCGCCGACCTTCCGCCGCCTCCCGAGGAAGAGATGACAGCTCCTTCTATCCTCGAAGGCGAGGCCTTTTTTGGAGCGCCCCACGCAGCTAGCACAGCTGGGCGCGTGGGCTGAAGGTGTAATTACATCTCGGCTGCGGCTTCGGACGGGAAGAAGAGATGACAATTTCTTCTATCCTCGAAGGCGAGGTCCTTTTTTAGAGCGCCCCACTCAGCTAGCACAGCTGGGCGTGCGGGCTGAATGTGTACATCTCGGCTGCGGCTTCAGACGGGCGGGCAACGATGGGGGGGGACTGGCATAGGGGGGGAAACATCGACCTGGAATCGGCGATACATCGCCGATAGATCGGCGATAAGCCTCCGATAGTGAATCCGCATGTTCCTGGGCAGGTTGGGGCTATCGGGCCCCTCTCGGCGATTAATGGGCGGTGGGCGGTTGGGGGTCGATGCACCCCCCCCTGTGCCGATGCCGATCCCCCCTATCGTTGCCCCTGATTCTACCCTCGAAGGCGAGGCCCTTCTTTTGGAGCGCCCTACGCAGCTAGCACAGTTGGGCGCGCGGGCTGAAGGCGTACATCTCGGCTGCGGCTTCGGGGAGAGGAGGGGGAGGAGGGGGAGGGGGAGGAGGAGGAGGAAGAGGAGGAGGAGGAGGAGGAGGAGGGGGAGGGGGAGGAGGAGGAGGAGGAGGAGGAGGAAGGAGGAGGAGGAGGAGGAGGAGGAGGAGGAGGAGGGAGGGGGAGAGGAGGAGGAGGAGGAGGAGGAGGAGGAGGAGGAGGAGGAGGAGGAGGAGGAGGAGGAGGAGGAGGAGCGAGGAGGGGGAGGAGGAGGAGGAGGAGGCGGAGGAGGAGGAGGAGGGAGGAGGAGGAGGAGGAAGGGCGAGGGTCTCGGCCCAGGCGAACCCAGACACCATCGATCTCCTCGAGCCCTCCGACGGTTGACGGGCCGTGCCTCCGAGGACCGCGCCGCTCCTCACCGTCAGCCCCGGCGGGCCGGGCGCTGACAGAATGATGAGAACCTGGCCATCGCTCGGACGTCCATTTCCTGTGTTTCTTTCGGTTTTGTGAGTGGTTTTTTCGCCAAATGATCAAGGATGCTCCTCGATGGTCCTCGCCGAAGGAAAAATGCACACGTCCGAGCGATGCCAAGGAACAAACTACATGAGCATAAACCTCCCCTGAGATCCGACGCTCCAGAAAATCGGAGCAGGCGGTTTTTGGCCGTTTTCGGCCTCCGGGGGCCCTCGCCGGGCCTCGTGAGCGTCTAAGAAAGGACCCAGGACGAAAAGCTGGCCCTGGGGAAGTGGTCCGGACCTCCGGGGCCCACGCATCAAAAAAATTGGAGCAGCGGGATGTCTGGGTCCTGGGCGTCGTTGAGCCGATCCCGATCCCCTCTGGCGTCACGTGGCCTTGGCCCCGCTGGTCCACTTGCCCCCCTTGGAACCCCAGGTGGGGGTCTGTGCTGTTTCTTCGGGTTCCGCGGGGCCAATCCCCACCTGGGAGAGTGGACTGGTGGGGAGGGGTCAGGTTAGACGATGCTGACTTTCGGAGCTCCGACACTATATGATTACGCATGCCGCCTCCTCCCGGCTCAGGCGGTGACATGCGACGGGCTCCAAGTGCAAGGGTCATTGCACCGACCTCGCAGACGTGCTGCCGCGGATTTTTGCGCGGATGTCTGCCATTGCAAGCCCCCAGAACGGCGAGCGAAAAAAACGAAGTGTATTTCACGTGGATGCTTTGTAGTCTTCATTCCTGGCCCAAAAGAATCCGCACGAAACTCACGTCGAAATCTGGAACGAAATTCTCCAGGACGATCTGGGCCCACCCCATTGTTTTCCGAACGACATCCGCGCTGCGATGCTGCCGCCGTGACAAGGTGGGGGGGGGAGGGAAGCGACCGGGCAAGGGGGGGGCGGAAGTGGAAGCGGAGCAGGAAGATGGAGAAAGGTGGCGACGGGTGGAGGGGGAGGGCGAGGAGAAGGAGAGGAACAGCAAGAGTGGTGCTCAGTATTCGACCCGCTGCGGAGGGCCGGGCGCTGATCCCCCGCCCTGCGCTCTGCCAACCTGGCGCCGCTCAGCACGGGGGACGCGTGCTGGACCCCAGGGCCTCTTCCTCCAGGACGAGACCTTCACCCAGAATCCGTCTTCGGACGGTCCCGGCGCCCCACGGAGGGCCCCGAGAGCGGCGACAAGCCTCAGGGCCCGTGCCGCTCGGGACCCGTTTTTCCCTTCCTGGCGAGCCGCGCGCGCGGCATCCCTGGAGCTCGCCGCGCCGGCCGCCTGCCGGCGAAGGAGGAGAAGGAGGAGAAGGAGTAGGAGGAGGAGGAGGAGGAGGAAGAGGAGGAGGAGGGGGGGGAGGAGGGGGAGGAGGAGGAGGAGCGAGGAGGAGCGAGGAGGAGGAGGAGGAGGAGCGAGGAGGAGCGAGGAGCGAGGAGGAGGAGGAGGAGGAGGAGGAGGAGGACCGCACGCCGGCCGCCTGCCCCGCCCCGCCCCTCCCCCCCCGGGCGGGCGGGCTCCTCGGCATCGGCCGCCGCCGGCTGCCGCCGCGCCGCCTCCTCCTCCTCGTCCTCCCTCTCTCGGGGAGGGGGGGCCACTCTGCACAGAGGCCCTCGCCTCACTGTCGTCGTCGTCGTATTCCTCGTATTCCTCGTCGTCGCCGTCGCCGTTGCCGGCGCCGTCGCCGTCGCCGTCGTCGTCGTCGTCGTCGTCGTCGTCGTCGTCGTCGTCGTCGTCGTCGTCGTCGTCGTCTTCCTCCCCCTCCAGGAGGAGGACGGCGACGACGACGACGAGCGCGAGGATGAGGAGGACGACGACGTCCACGGACTCTCCTCCTGCGTCGTCGCGCGAGAGGAGGGGGCGGGGGCGACGACGAGGAGCCCCGACAGTCACGGCGACAACGACGACGACGTCGACGACGACGACGACGACGACGACGACGACGACGACGACGAGCACGACGACGAGCACGACGACGAGCACGACGAGCACGACGACGACAACGACGACGACGACGACGATAGCGGTGGCGGCGACGGCGGCGACGACCACGACGTGGCGAGGCCCTCTTGAAGGGCCCGACGCCTCTGGCCTTCACCCAGGAGGAGGAGGAGGAGGAGGAAGGAGGAGGAGGAGGAGGAGGAGGAGGAGGAGGAGGAAGGAGGAGGAGGAGGAGGAGGAGGAGCAGCAGGAGCAGAAGGAGGAGGAGGAGGAGCAGAAGGAGGAGGAGGAGGAGGAGGAAGAGGTTCCGCGGACGACATGTACGCACCGCACCGCGTTGGCATTTCACGACGCGTCGTCACCCAAACGGGGTGAAAAGCCATGGCGGGAATGTCCGCCATGGAAAGCTAGGGCGGGCATTTCTTCCTAAGTATGGGCGACGGCAAGGTGGGGCGGAAGGAAATAAGTCCGCCTCAGAGGAGCTTGAAAAGTGGGGCGGGGAATTCCCGCCCCACTTCAGCGCCCGAGATGGGGCGGATCCGGGCCCAGACCTCCACAGACGCTGCCGTTTCCCAACCCCACCTGCACACGTCGTTCATGTCTAATCGTGTTCATTTCTAGTGGTGCTCGTTTCTAATTGTTCCTGGCCCCCTAGTGACCAGGAAGAGGCCCAGGATGGAACAATTAGAAATGAAAAGGATCTTGGCCCCCCAAAAATCATGGAATTTTCGAAGCATGAGACATGAACAATGTGTAGAGTTGGGTCCTCGCTTTGGTCCGCAGCCCCCAGCATCACTCCTCTTCACTCCCGCCTCCCCTCTGCCCGCTCTCTCCCCCGCCCTGCCGCTGCGCTCCGCATGCCCATGCTCGCACACACACACACACACACACACACACACACACACACACACGCGCACACGCACACGCACACGCACACGCACACGCACACGCACACGCACACGCACACGCACACGCACACGCACACGCACACGCACACGCACACGCACACGCACACGCACACGCACACGCACACGCACACGCACACGCACACGCACACGCACACGCACACGCACACGCACACGCACACGCACACGCACACGCACACGCACACGCACACGCACACGCACACGCACACGCACACGCACACGCACACGCACACACGCACACACGCACACACGCACGCACACGCACACGCACACGCACACGCACACGCACACGCACACGCACACGCACACGCACACGCACACGCACACGCACACACGCACACGCACACGCACACACACACACATTCACGCACGCACGCACGCACGCACGCACGCGCGCGCACGCGCGCGCGCACTCACACACACACACACACTCTCTCACACACACACACACTTCACACGCTTCGTGACCCCAAGAAGAGCTCCCCCCAAGAGGAGCTCCGGCTGCGAGGGCGCCCGTGTTGCAGCGCCGCCTCGCTTCGACACACGACCCACACGCTTCGTACCCCCACAGGGGCCTCCACCTGCGGCCCCAGTCAGGGCGCCCGTGTGGCACCGCCGCTTCATGTCGGCACGCCACTCGCACACGTCGTTGCCCCGAAGGCAGCTCCACACACGACCCCACTGCGCTCCCTGGCCCGACGGGGAGCTCCGCCCAATGGCCTCCGTGGGGTCAGCACGATGGCGGCGCTGCATGCTTCCGGCACGCTCCTCACACGTGCCCCATTGGGAGCTCGAACTGAGGACCCGGCGGGGTCGTCCGTATGGCGGCGCCGCAATCGTTTCGGCACACCCCTGTCGCGCTTCTTGGCCCCCCGAAAAAAGCTGCGCCCAAGGGCCCAGAAGGGGGTCGTCCGTATGGCAACGCCGAATCGCTTCGGCACACCCTTTCACACGCTTCGAGGCCCGTGGCCCCATAGGGAGCTCCACCCACGGCCCCAGTGAGTCGTCACAATGGCGCCGCCGCTCACTTTCGGCAAACTCCTCACGCGCTTCGTGGCCTCGGGGTCCAACTTCGGCCCCAGTGGAGCCGTCCGTATGGCGGCGCCGCCTTGTTTCGGTACGCCCATCACACACTTCGTGGCCTCCTGGGGCGCTCCATGAGGGCCCCAATGGCGACATCCGCGTGGTGGGCGGCTCCCTGTCGACACACCCCTCGCACGCTTCGCGGCCCCGTGGGAAGCTAAATCGAAGGCCCCACTAGCGATGCCTCCGCGCTGGGCGGCCTCATTTCGGCACGCGCCTTGCACGCTTCGTGGCCCCATTTCGGCGCAACACTGACGACGATCACGCCCCTTGGGCAGACCCGCAGAAGGACTGCCAGCAGTAACTTGTCATGGATCTGCTCAGGGTTGGGTCCTTCGCAGGAACACGTTTTCGAACTGTGCACAAGTACGGGAACACGCTCATACAACTTCGCTCCCAGATATTATGTGGTTTTGGGTCCTCGCTTTGAATCAGCAGCGCTCCGCGTTTAACCCCCCGGCCTCATCCATCTCCCCCTTGCTCCTATCCTTGCATATGCCATCCGCGTGTTCCCGTCAACATCATCAGAAACATCCTCTTCATCATCATCGACATCACCATCATCAACATCAGACCCAAGATCATCCTCACCATCATCATTACACGAACCATCATCACCGCCAACGTCACCATCACATTCGCCATCATTGCCTATACCATCATCCTCGCCGTCGCCATAAACATCATAATCACCCCCACTGCCCCATCACCATCACCACCATCATCACCATAATCACCACCACCAACATCATCACCATCGGCAACATCATCACCAACACCGTCACCATCATCATGATCATACTTAGCTTCAACATCGTCGCAACCACCATCCTACTCACCCTTTTCCTCCTATCCTCCCCCCATCATCCTCACCTTCACCCTCATAAGCACCACCACCACCATCACCAGCACAACCGCCATCACAAGCACCATCACCATCAGCGTCTTAACCATCACCATCCACAGTATCATCAATCTCATCATCTTCACCACCGTCATTATCATCAACAGCACCATTTCCGTCATCCTCATCATCACCATCCTCCTCATCATCATCATCAGCAGCATCAGCATCAGCATCATCATCATCACCACCATCATCATCATCATCATCATCATCACCACCACCACTACCACCACCAGAACCACCACCACCACCACCACCACCATCATCATCATCATCATCATCATCTTCTTCTGGTTCTTCTTCTTCATCATCATCATCATCATCATCATCATCATCGTCAGCATCATCAGCACCATCATCATCAGCATCATCATCATCGTCATCGTCAGCATCATCAGCACCATCATCATCATCATCATCATCATCATCATCATCATCATCATCATCAGCATCAGCATCAGCATCAGCATCAGCATCATCATCATCATCATCATCATCATCATCAGAATCGTCATCGTCAGCATCATCATCACCACCATCATCATCGCCATCACTGTCGCGACCGGCATCCTCATCCGGATCACAATGCCGCCACACCCCTCAAACGCTTGGTGTTCCCACGACGCCCCGTGGGGAACTCAGCCGAGAAAGCCCCGAACGGCAGCGCTTGCTGCCGGCAAAGCGGCCCCCCCAAAAAAAAACGCCTCTGGGACCCGCTGCCGCCCCCGCCCTGCCTCCGACGTCCTACGTTTGTCACAACGTGGGCCCCCAGAAGTCAGCCCAGGAGGAAGAGGAGAAGGAGGAGGAGGAGGCGGATGAGGGGGAGGAGGAGGAGGAGGATGGGGGAGGGGGAGGGGGAGGAGGAAGAGGAGGAGGAGGAGGAGGAGGGGGAGGAGGAGAAGGAGGAGGAGGAGGAGGGAGGAGGAGGAGGAGGAGGAGGAGGAGGAGGAGGAGGAGAGGAAGGAGGAGGAGGAGGAGCAGGAGCAGGAGGAGGAGGAGGAGAAGGGGAAGGAAGAGGAGGAGGAGGAGGAGGAGGATGAAGAGGAGGAGGACCAGTGTAAACCCAAGAGGCATCAACGATGTTAGAGTAAACTCTCCCTCCAAGCTCCCTCTTCATAGGCCCCTACGACGGTTCATTTCCATTGATGGAATTGCCTCGTTGGAAAACATCGATTTGAAGACCCTGAAGCATGCCAAGACATTGTTTTCGGGGTTCCAACGCCACGGATCAACCTGACTGTTGCGTCCTGGCGATCCTGAATCGTACCAAAACGCCATTCCTAGGATTTCAACACAGAGAATCAACGTAACTGTTGCACCCGCATAATCCTGAACAGTTTCCAAAAATAGAATTTCTGGTACTTTGGTGATGGGAATCCGTGAAGCTCTTGAATTCTTTGTAAACGAATATGCGCGGGGCTAAGGCGAGAAACCACAATTTGAAAAGGAACCGCCCTCAATCCGTGAAGCTCTTGCATTTTTCAAGAAAAAGGAGTTGCGCCGCGCTAAGGCGAGAACCACATTGTGAAAACGACTCGACCTCCATCCGTGAAGCTCTTGCATGTGTTAAGCGAGTGTGCGCCGCGCTAAAGCGAGAACTACATTTTGAAAACAACTCGCCCTCAATCCGTAAAACTCTTGCAAATGTTTAAGACGAATGCGCACCGCGCTAAGGCGAAAGCCACAGTTTGAAAAGGAGCCGCCCTCCATCTGCGAAAC